ATCGTGTCTCAGTAGTGAGTACTGCTGCCTCATAGCACCAGGGAGCCAGGTCCAATTCCAGCCTCGGACAACTGTCTGTGTGGAGTTTGTAAATTCTCCCTGTGTCTGCATGGTTCTCCTCCGGGTGCTCCGGTTTCCTCCCAAGGTCCAAAGATGTGCAGATTAGGTGGATTGGCCATGCTAAATTGCCCATAATGTCCAGGCATGTGCAAAACAGGTGGGCTAGCCACGGGTAATACAGAGTTACAGGGATGGGGTAAGGGGCTAGGCCTGTGTGGGATGCTCTTTGGAGAGAGTCACTGTGGAGTCGACGGCCCAAATAGCCTGTTTCCCACACTGTAGGGATTCTATGATTCTATGAGATATTTCTTCCAAGCTCAGCAAACAACCCAGTAAATCCAACCCCTCCGCAATCTGTCTGCTCCTTCCACCACTGTCAGTTTTCCCAACTGCTTCCCCAAATCACCATTTCTCACCCCATATCATCATAGAGTCCCTACAGTGTGGAAACAGGCCCTTCAGCCCAACAAGTCCACACTGACTCTCACAGCATCCCACCCCGACCCATCTCCCTATAACCCACTTAACCTACATATCCCTGAACACTATGGCATTTTAGCATGGCCAAATCACCTAAGCCTGCACATCTTTGGACTGTGGGAGGAAACCGGAGCACCCAGAGGAAACCCGCGCAGACACGGAGAGAATGTGCAAACTCCACACAGACAGTCACCCGAGGGTGGGAGTGAACCCGGGTCCCTGGCACTGTGAGGCAGCAGTGCTAACCACTGAGCCACCGTGCCACCCAGCTTCCACTCATAACCTCCAAAACAACCCTGTGTGCACCTCAACCCGATTGCCATCCATTCTCCCACAAACTAGTTCACCTACTCACAAAACCTATCAGCTATCAATTTGGCTTTTCCTTGTACTACAGGCTTTCCCACCCAGCAGGCAGTTAGCAGCGTTGCCAGGAGGAATGAGAAACAATTTTAAAATCTCCATCTCGTCTCCAACACCTCTCACCATTTTCTTACAGATGTTGACTCAGAAAAAATATTTGTGCATTAATGTCCCCTCACAAGCGTGCAATTTGTACTTTGTAAATCTTTTTGCGGGTATTATAGCTGCAAGGGATGGTACTGTGGTTAGTACTGCAGCCTCACAGCACCAGCGACCCAGGTTCAATTCAGGTAACTGTCTGTGTAGAGTCTGCACATTCTCCTCGTGTCTGCGGGGGTTTCCTCCCACAGTCGAAAGATGAGCAGGTTAGTTGGATTGGCCATGATATATTGCCCACAGTGTCTAATTGTATGCAGGCTAGGTGGATTAACCATGGGAAATGCAGGGTTACAGGATAGGGTATAGTGGTGGATCTGGATGGGATGCTCTTCAGAGGGTTGGTATGGACTTGATGGACCAAATGGCCTACTTCTGCTCTGTAGGAATTCTATGATTCTATAAACAAATAGACCCATCTTAACTCCCTAGAGGCAGACAACACCCCATAATACAACCTTTATGATTTGTCATTGAGAATCAATTAAGAAGGTCCTGCTAGCAACATAGCAAGTGTGCTTTCTGCCCCTATCTCTCCCGTCCCAACCCCTTGCTTTGAGGTCAGTGTAACTATCACGGCAGAACTATGCAAACTTTTCCTCCCTTGCTGCAGTGTCTGTGAGTTAACAACACTATTAATTCAAGGGTTTTCCACAAGGAACATTTTTTCCCACCTTTCTTAGTTGAAATCGCTATCTATCGGTAGTTCATTGAACTTTCATTTCTGCATCGGCCACCATATTGCACATATTGTCCGGAGCAGACTTCTACCAAAATGTTGATTTATTACACAAGAAAGAGAGTTGAGTGATTGCTAATAATCATTGCAATTTCAATGCTCACATTCCCCACATCAGGGAGAAGCTTAATACAATCAATGCAAACAAATGCTTTTTCAAAATCTGCAAAATAAACATATAATTTCTGTCTAAATTCCAAACTACATTGCCTTATTAATTTTATTATGCCAATTGCTTCTTTTACTCCCCTTCCTACCTCGAATCCAAACTGGTCATCTCCTATGTAATTCTGTGCCTTCTCAGCCACGGTCTTTGTTATAGCTCTCAACACAATCTTCAATGTACAACAAATCAAATTAATTGTAAGGAAATTAGAATATCAGCATGCTTTGGCTTCTTCCTTTGGATCATCATTATTCTATTTCTTCTACTGACACCTTCTGTATGCATGTAAAGCCAAGAAATTTATGAGAAGTATAAGATTTGAGTTGTGAATCCACTTCTCACAACTCACATTGATGGTTAATTCAATCCAATTTTTTGGGAAGATTTGACTCAGTTTTGGAGAGGTCAGAAAGCTTAAGTAATCTGAAAAGAAAAATCTCAATTTTCTTACCAATGTTTTAAATGTTTGTGAGAAACATTTACTTTATTCAATCACTCACTGTCAAATAATTTAGGTCAATATTCTTCGGCATTTTGGTGGGTGATCACTAATAATTAATGTAGTCATTATTAATAAAAGAATAAGTCAATGTTTAGTAATCAGTGCAAAGATATTTTCTTAAGAGGAAAATGGTCAAAGGGCCTCATGCAGAAAATAAGGATCATTCAAAGAAATAAGCCACAGGCATGCTGATATTCCAATTTCTATACAATTAGTTTGATTACCTGAAGATTGTGTTGAGAGCTATAATAAAGAGTGTGGATGGGAAGACACAGAATTACGCAGGAGATGACCACTTTGGATTCAAGGAAGGAAGAGGGATAAGAAAAACAATTACCATGATAAGATTAATAAGTGAATATATTTTAGAGTTTGAACAGGTATTATATGATTGTTTTGCAAATTTTGAAAAAAACATTTGATTGGGTTAACTGGTATAGGCGCTTGACAATAATGAAAGACATTGGAAAAGACTGGAAAGATACATAACTCTGAAGACACTTAAACAAGGAACAAACTGCACCAGTGATAATAGCAATACTATTCCAAAGTTAGACATTAGAAGAGTTCAGCAATGGGTCCTGAAGAAAGGTCGTATCAGACTCAAAACTTGAATGCTTTTTCAGTCCGTGAATGCTGCCAGATTTGCTGAAATTCTCCAGCACTTTCTGTTTCAGTTCAACAAGGATGTTGTTAATCACCTATCATCTTCAATGTCTACGTAGAAGCAATCATCAAAAAAAGTATTTGAAGACACGCATCTAGTGTTAAGATTGGGAGGGTGGATGGGACGACTGATAATGTCAGTTGGATTTGCACGAACAAAGCACTTGTGAAAAGCACCAGAAAAGGGTTACAAGAACTGTCAAATAGATTTATAATAGAAGGCATAAACTTTGATATGAAAGATAGAATTGACAAAACCAACATGATCCACATCTTAAAATCACAAAGAAATATTCACATATTCAATGAAGAAAGATAAATAGAAAAATGCAAGAATTCAAGTATTTGAGAAGCATAATGTCTGCAGTTGGAAGGTGCAACTAAGACATAAGAAGAAGGATATTAACAGGAAAGGCCACATCTGGTAAGAAGAGACTGTTGTTAATTTGGTAGCTGAATGAACAACTGAAAAAGTGATTTGTAAACAGCTTGACTGGGCATGCATATTTATATGGATGGGAAACATGAACTTTATGCAAACAGCAAACCATCTTGCTAAATAGCTTAGAAATGTATTTTTGGATGATCATAGAGAGGATCTGCTCAACAGAAAAAAGAATAATAAGTCATGTAGTTCTGGCAAGAGTGAATGGGCAATGAATGTTTTGAAATGATTAGGCTTACTTGAAAACACAAGTTTTCACCAGGTGAAATGATTAGGAAAGGGCAGAATCTGGAAAGGGTGAATCTTAAGATGAAACGGACTTGAGAAAGGATGTACTGGCACTGGAGTGGGTGCAAAGGAGGTTCACTAGGTTGATTCCGGAGTTGAGGGGATTGGCTTATGAGGAGAGACTGAGTAGATTGGGATTATATTCATTGGAATTCAGAAGATTGAGGGGGGATCTTATAGAAACAATTAAAATTATGAAGGGAATAGATAAGATAGAAGTAGAGAGGATGTTTCCACTGGCAGGTGAAGCTAGGACAAGAGGGCATAGCCTCAAGATTAGAGGGAGCAGATTTAGGACTGAATTCAGAAGGAACTTCTTCACCCAGAGGGTTGTTAATCTATGGAATTCCTTGCCCAGTGGAGTAGTTGACGCTACTTCAGTAAACGTTTTTAAAGATAAGGTAGATTTTTTTTGAACAATAAAGGAATTAAGGGATACGGTGAGAACACAGGTAAGTGGATCTGAGTCCACAAAAAGATCAGCCATGATCTTATTGAATGGCGGAGCAGGCTCCAAGGGCCGGACGGCCTACTCCTGCTCCTAGCTCTTATGTTCTAAGATGTATTGATGCAAGATTTAAGGAAAAAGTGGAAAAGGAAAGAGTGAATATCAATGTCAGATGGCTAGAAAATTGAAGGATATTACTGGCAAATTTAAAAAATGGTACAAGTTAGAGAGAGAGAGAAAGATTATGCTGAGTCAATGACCTGCTTTCAGGCAGATCACATGATTATTTTCAGTTGCAACTAAAAAAAATCCTGAATTTCCAGCAGCTTAGTTTCCTTCCTTCTGACTGAGAAGAAGCTTCCCTGTCCCATAAGTCTAACATTGTCAAGATCAAAGCTGAAACAATAAATTACTGTTAAAACTTATACTTTTTCACAAACACATGATCAGTTTAAGCAGCACATTGTAAAAGAAATGAGAAGTTCTCTGTGAAGTAATTGCAAAGTCAGTGAGCTGTCTGAAAGAATGGCATAACATTCATTTAGTATATATACAGTTCACTTAGGTTCCAGCATGATTTTATTTAGTTGCATGGTAAATACTTAATGTTAACATGAGCAGGATCAAGAATTAAAGCATTATAATGGGAATGTTTCAGAGTAATATATTTGAAAATAGGCACATTACCTTGTAATCTGTGTCCTTGTGCCAAAATCAAGGGAACGCATAGACCGTAACACCTCTATACAGCCCAGGTACTGCAAAAAAAAATCTGAATTACATGGTTTTGAAGAAATATTTTTGGTTATTTTCCATAGCTTAGTCTGGAATATCAATAACGTCGCTCCATCAGATATTGAAATGTCAATTTTCTAAAAAAAAGTTTCTTCCAACACATAAAAGCATCTTATAAAGGAATAATAAAATAATAAAAATAATTTTGAAATAATAAAATTAATTTTTTTTCAGCAAATGGCTCCTGTTTTGCTAAGTACTTCCAGTATTTAGTCACAACTAGAATTTAGCATATATAAACACTGAATATAAATATAAAGAAAAAAGCTTTGAGACCTGGGAACCTCAAATAATTTTATTGTGGCTTGGAGCTATCCTCCTTCGAACATCAGTCTGAGACACCTAGATTTATTTTCTAACAGTGCTTGACTTGAAAACTATGCTTCCTAGCAAATTGATAGGCTAGCCCTGATGTTTGTAGAGTCTTCAACTAAGGGTGATTTTCTTTCTTTTTATTCATTCACAGGATGAGGGTGCCACTATGGTGAACAACAAATATATCCCTAAACTACTGAGGGCACACTCTCCAGCGCATGAATTTCAACAAACCTTTGACAGTTTCAACTACCTTAGTTTGATATCATATTGTATACATGGGACAAACATAACAACCAGTATCAGACCCCTGTGGGTTTTCTAGGCTACATATTTTAGAATGCTTTCAAGAGCACAATAATCACACATGCTGCATGTCCACAAAGCAAGTCATATTAGGGTAAAAATAGTTAAACAGACAAAATGGCATTAACTTGAGTTAAAAGTTAAATACTGATACGATCAGGACTACCTACTTGCCAAATGTCTACAATTTCACAACAGATAATAAACAGAAGGAGTTTCAAAAATATATTCACAATATCACTGTATGGAATGACCAGAAAAACTATTAACCATTGTTGAAAGAGAAAGAAGAGAGAATGAGACCACCTGATTAGCATGCTTAGAGTCATAGAGCTGTACAGCATGGAAACAGACTCTTTGGTCCAACACGTCCACGCCAACCAGATATTCTAAATTAATCTAGTCCCATTCACCAGCATTTGACTCATAATCCTTCTAAATCCTTCCAATTCATGTACCAGATGCCTTTTCAATGTTGTAATTGTACCAACCCACCAGTTCCTCTGGCAGCTCATTCTATACACACACTACCCTCTGTGTGAAAAAAATTGCCCCTTAGGTCCCTTTTAAATCTTTCTCCTCTCACTTTAAACCTATGCCCTCTAGTTTTGGACTCCTCTATCCTGGGGAAAAGACTTGGCTACTCCCCCTATCTATGCCCCATGACTTTATAAACTTCTATAAGGTCATCCCTTAGCTCCTGACGCTCCAGGGAAAATAGCACCATTCTATTCAGCATCTCCCTAAAGCTCAAACCCTCCAATCCTGGCAATACCTTGTAACTCTTTTCTGAACCCTTTCAAATTTCACAACACCCTTCCTATAGCAGGGAGACCAGAACTGAATGTCGTATTCCAAAAGCGGCCTACCCAATGTCCTGTACAGCCTCAACATGACATCCCAACTCCTACACTCAATGCACTGACCAATAAACGCAAGCATACCAAACACGTTCTTCACTATCCTGTCTACCTGTGACTCCACTTTCAAGGAACTAAGACCCTGTACTCCAAGGTCTCTTTGTTCAGCAATACTCCCCAGCACCTTACCATTAAGAGTATACGTCCTGCTCTAATTTGCCTTTCCAAAATGCAGCACCTCACATTTATCTAAAGTAAACTACATCTGCCACTCTTCGGCCCATCAGTCCATCTGATCAAGGTCCCATTATATTGTGAGGTAACCTTCTTCGCTGTCCAATACACCATCAATTTTGGTGTCATCTGCAAACTTAATAATCATACCTCCTATGTTCACATCCAAATCATTTATATAAATGATGAACCGTTGCGGCGCACTGCTGGTCACAGGCCTCTAATCTGAAAAGCAACTCTCCCCCAGCACCCTCTGCCTCCTACCTTCAAGCCAGTTCTGTATCCAAATGGCTAGTTCTCCCTGTATTCCATGTGATCTAACCTTGCTAACCAGTCTATCACGCGGACCCTTGTTGAACATCTTACTGAAATCTATACAGATCATGTTCACAGCTCTGCCTTCATCAATTCTCTTTATTACGTCTTCAAAAAACTCACGTAAGTTAGTGAAACACAATTTCCTATGCACAAAGCCATGTTGACTATCCCTATTTATGATGTAGTGGTGCCGGTGTTGCACTGGGGTGGACAAGGTCAGAAGTCACACAACACCAGGTTATAGTCCAACAGGTTCATTTGAAATCACAAGCTTTCAGAGCGCTGCTCCTTTGTCAGGTGAAGACGAGCGCACAGGCACAGAATTTAGAGGCATAGAGATCAACAGATCATACACATGGTGTGAGTGGAGTGTCGACATGCTGAATAATAAGTCTCTACAAGTGATCAAAAGTGTAAGACAGTGTGAGTAATGCATCAACAGCTGAATAGCAAGAGAAGGGATGATCTATTATCCGATTAATTGAGGCAGAGAGATAATTACAAAAAAAAATTAAAATAAGTTGGTGCTGGAGACAAACCAAATGGATGGAATAACATGATAACATCATGAACAATCATGATTGGGCCATGAGCCTGTCCATCTCAGTGAAGACGCTGTATGAGAGAGCCAGTTACAAAGAGACAACTCGGCTCCACTGACCAAAAATAATCAACATAATCAAAGGGGCTGTGCGTAATCTAAGCTAAAATGTACACATTAAGACATTTTAAAAGCTTTGTGTATGTCTTCGTGCCTTTTTGCTGTATGCTGTCTGTATTCAGCATGTCCACACTCCGTTCACACTATTTGCACGATCTTTTGATCTCTCTGCCTATAAATTCTGTGCCTGTGTGCTTCTCTTCACTTCATCTGACGAAGGAGCAGCGGTCTGAAAGTTTGTCATTTCAAATAAACCTGTTAGACTATAACTGGGTGTCATGTGACTTCTAACCTTATTCGTAATCGGTCCTTGCCTTTCCAAATACACGTAAATCCTGTCCCTCAGGATCCCCTCCAACAACTTGCCCACCACTAATGTCAGGCTCACTGGTCTATAGTTCCCTAGCTTTTCCTTACCACCTTTCTTATATTGTGGCACAACATTAGCCAACCCCCAGTCTTCTGGCACCTCACCTGCGGCTATCGACAACACAAATATCACAGCAAGGGGACCGGCAATCACTTCCCGAGCTTCCCACAAAGTTCTAGGGTACACCTGATCAGGTACCAGGGATTTATCCACCTTTATGCGTTTTAAGACGTCAAGCACCTCCTCTTCCGTAATATGGACATTTTTCAAGATGTCACTACTTACTCCACCAAGTTCGCTAGCTTCCATGTCCTTCTCCACAGTAAACACAAGCAAAATACTCACGTAGTATCTCCCCCATCTCTTGCGGTTCCACACGTAGGTGGTCTTGCTGATCTTTAAGGGGTCCTATTCTCTCCTTAGTTACCCTTTTGTCCTTAAAATATTTGTAAAATCCCTTTGGATTCTCCTTAGCCCCATTTGCCAAAACTATCTCATGTCCCCTTTTTGCTGTCTTGATTTCCTTCTTAAGTATACTCCTACAGCCTTTATACTCTTCTAGGGATTCACTCGATCTCTGCTGTCTATACCTGACATATGCTTTCTTCTTTTTCTTGACCAAAACCTCAATATCTCTAGTCTTCCAGCATTGCCTACACGTATGAACCTTACCCTTCACCCTAACAGGAGCATGGTGTCTCTGGAATCTCGTTATCTCATTTTTGAAGGGTTCCCACTTTCCAGCCATCTCTTTGCCTGCGAATATCTGCTCCCAATCAACTTTTGAAAGTTCTTGCCTAATATGTCAAAATTGGTCTTCTTCCAATTTAGAACTTTAACTTTTAGATCCGGTCTATCCTTTTCTATCACAATTTTGAAACTAATAGAATTATGATCACTGGCCCCAAAGTTCTCCCCCACTGACGCCTCAGTCACCTGCCCTACCTTATTTCCCAAGAGTAGGTCAAGTTTTGCTCCTTCTCTATTTGACGCATCCATACACCGAATCAGAAAATATTCTTGTACACACTTAACAAATTTTTCTCCATTCAAGCCCTTAATACTATGGCAGTCCCAGTCCATGTTTTGAAAGTTAAAATCCCCTACCATTATTACCCTATTATTCTTACGGATAACTGAGACCTCCTTACAAATTTGTATTTCAATTTCCTGCTGGTTATTGTTTGGGAGGTGTAGGGGGGATCTATAGTACAATCCCAATAAGGTGGGCAGCCATTTCTTATTTCTCAATTTTTCCCAAATAACTTCCCTGGACGTACTCTCAGGAATATCCTCCCTAAGTACAGCTGTAATGTTATCCCTCCTCTCTTGCCCTCCTTTCTATCCTTCCTATAGCATCTATATCCTGGAAAATTAAGCTGCCAGTCCTGTCCATCCCTGAGCCACGTTTCTGTAATCACTATGATATCCCAGTTCCATGTTCCCAAATCCCGAGTTCATCTGCTTTACCTATTCAGCCTCTTGCATTGAAAAAATGCAGTTTAATTTATCAGTCCTATCTCGCTATCTGCTTTGTTCCTGCCTGCCTTGACTGTTTGAGTGGTTTCTTTTCCCAACTGCACCAGTCTCAGACTGATCTCATTTCTTACCATTTTCCTTTGTTCCCTGCACTCCCCCACAACTAGTTTAAATCCTCCCAAGCAGCTCTAGCAAACCTCCTCACCAGTGTATCCTTGTTTGAGATGGAGATGGCCACAGGAGATTCCTGCACCACCTGCCTATCCCTCCTGCCTTTCATGGAGGTAACCTATCTGCATGACTGTGGCTGCGGTTTTTCTCCCTTCCTGAAACTGCCATCCATCTCACCCTCTGGCTCGTGTAAATTCCTCATTGCCTCTAACTGCTGCTCCAACTGATCCATACAATCCGATAGGATTC